CCCCCCCCCCCCCAATCCAATACCTTCATCTGAGACAAACACCACCGCACCACTTATCTCTAACCACAAAACACCCACCCCATTTAACCACAAATCACCAATCTCTCAACACTTGAACTTACGCATCCTATGTGTTTCTATGGTAACCAAAATCATTGGGGTTTTTTGCAAATATCTTGAGTGGTAGTCTGCTTTCAAAATTGGAACCACACAAGTATTTTCAAACTATAGTGGTGGTGTGTTTTCAAGCTTTCATCACTATAAACACACGAGTCCTATATGGTTTCAAACTCTGTGTGAAACCCGAACATGCATTTTTAGAACATTTTATACAATATTAGGGGGGGTTAAAATATAATTTGTTAATGTTAGTTATGGGTTAATTGTAGTTAGTGAAATTGTGGAAAGTAAGGTATGATTGTTATTAAACGTACCTAAGGTTGAATTATAAAATGTAACGAGATTGGATGTGAACATTTATGTTTTAGAAAATTTAAGTGTTAATTATGAAAATAGAGAAAACAAGGGGGGGTTTCGGTGTAATTTGGTCAAAGGGTGGGCTAGCCATGGTATACCTGACAATCACTCAGTGTTTTTTGGCTAAACGGTTTGGTGATAAGAGGGGAATTCTCTTGGCCTTGTACCGGTTTACAAGAGGTTTGTGGGTTTTCGAAGATGTTAAGCTTTTGGTTCTAAAAATCAGCATCGAGTGGAGGATTTTCTTGCCTCCTTGAGTTTTAGCAAACATTTTCTTTATACTACTCAAATAATTCTAGCCTATATTCATTTGATTGGGTTGGTTGTGTTGGATTGAAGAACTGAAGAATTCTAGGTTCTTTGTTCATGGAGATCTTGGCAAATTCGGAGGAATGGGTTGCATCGAAGGTAAAACGTTTCATTTGATTTAATATGATTTTTAAGCTTATAAGTGTTTAAGGAAGGTTTGTTAGATGATTAGGTGGTGCTAGGGATGAAGAGAATGTATGTAGGAGTTAAAACTACGTTTGAAGTGTTAGGAATTTAGTTTTATAAATTAAAATTATTTTTTTAGTTGTCCTAGTCTTTAGAAGTTTGTTGCTAGGAGTATCAATAATTTAATTTGTTTCCTTAGTTCTCTACTACTGTTATTCTTCTACTGTTATGAGGCAGTTCCTAAATTAGTGGCAAGTTAGTTGATGTAATATTCTATTTAAGGAGTTTGATCTGATGAATAAATTACTACTTCAATATTCTAGCATATAATTCTTTTTTTTGATAAATTATAATAGTGGTATCAGAGCTTGCTTAAAAAAAAAACAAGAGACGTAGAAATTGTTGAAAGCTGTAGCTTTTATCTACTTCCTCTTGTTTTTCTGGGCAATAGCAATTTTCTTTCAATGGTGTCAAAACAATTTGTGCAGCCTGCTATACCTAGATTTGATGGTTATTATGATCATTGGAGCATCCTAATGGAAAACCTCTTGAGGTCCAAAGAGTATTGGCATCTTATTGAGGTTGGATATACAGAACTGATAGAGTCTAGCACTTTGATGGACGCTCAGAAAGTGAAGCTGGAGGAAATCAAATTGAAGGACTTGAAGGCAAAGAACTACCTATTCTAGGTCATTGATCGCACAATCCTGGAGACCATACTCACCAAAGATACTTTAAAACAAATATGGGAAGCAATGAAGCAAAAGTATCGAGACAATGCAAAGGTGAAACGATCTCAACTTTAAGCATTTCATTCGCAATTTGAGACTCTTCGCATGTAGCCGACAGAATCAGTGGAGGAATATTTCTCCAGAACTATGTCTATTGTGAACAAGATGAGATCATGTGGAGAAAAGATGGAAGAAATAACTATGGTTGAGAAGATTCTTCCATCAATGACAAAGAAGTTCGATTACGTGGTCTGCTCAATTGAGGAATCAAAGGATCTTGATGTCCTTTCGATTGAAGAATTGATGAGTTCGTTGACTGTCCACGAGCAACGAATTAATCAACATGAAGTAGTGGAGCAAGCATTGCTAGTGCAATACTCGTCCAACAACCCATCTTTGCAATAAAAGGGTTATGGGCGTGGAAAGGGAGGAAGCAACAACAAAAACAAAAATCAAGGCAGCAGTAAAAGACGGGATGATCAACACAGTGATGACCATGAATCAAAAGTGTTTGACAAATCTAAAGTCAAATGCTTTAGATGCAACAGGTACGGTCATTACTGTTCTAAATGTCAGACAAAGATGCATAAAAGAAAGGGAGCCAAATCAAATTTTGCTGAACAGGAGGAAGAAATTTCTCTTCTAATGGCATGCAATGTAGCTGAGGAGTCCCGTGAAAGCATGTGGTAC